CTGAATTGTCCATTCGTATGTGTACTGAATTGTCCATTCGTATGTGTACTGAATTGTTCATTCGTATGTGTACTGAATTGTTTAGCCATTTTTCATCTAATTGTTTATCACTTCATTAGGGTGAAAGTCCGAAGTGGCAGCAGTTAAGAACATTTTCATAGTTTTCTACAAAAGCCTTGGGCTGTTGTACTAAATTCGTAATGTGAAACAGGCTGGGCAATTAAGATAACTCTTTCTGAATAGATTCTTTGACTAAAATGGTCACTTATTAATTTGATCTACTTGTTAATAATTTATATTCAAGCCCCAATTTTGTTCCATTAGTGGGCAAATGAAAATTACAAAATGGAGTAGAGCCAGATACTCGACTCAATGACGGGCAATCGACATTCTACCCTTTGAACCCAGAAAGTGCTGGCTCATGTTACATTATTGTAATGATTATTTTAATAACATGGTTCAACGTATTCTTTGAATACAGAATAAGCCTAAAATTATCTTCTGTTAAATCCTCACCACCGAAAGGCGAGAGCTGAAGCTCGTGAAAAGTCTTCTTTTTCGAAAGAGTTCGGGGCGTGTTTTCCCCAATTAATTTACTAATATATTTGTTTATCCATGATAACATTCCCTACTTAATATTCCAGTCATTTACTCAACATATTCTTACTCACCATATACCTTAATTATTCGTCTATTCACACAGCGAAGAAATATGACTCACGTAATGCATTGCAAAACGTAATACAGAGCAACCCTTGAACGGTTGGTGCCTTACCTGACATTACATTTATAGAAGCTATGAAAATTGTAATCATTAGCGATTACAAAAAAGAATGTACGAATAATAAAGAAATCCCACCCACGTGATTCTTGTAAACCTCTTTATTAATCTAGGTATTTTATCATTACCTTGTCTCTTCATACATGAATCAGTGTTTTTTGTCAAAAATGACTTACTTAAGGGTGGGAATATATTTTCAGCAAACGCTGATATCTATAACTACAACATTCGACGTAGTAATCATATTTATCAGGTGACAGTATCAACAGCTCACTACAAACTATTAATACACAATTCATGTAAATTATTTGCCAGATGACATTAAACGATTAAATTCGATACAAATGTTTAAGTTCCAAGTAAAATCTTTTCTGCTACACAATTGTTTCTATACAATTAGAGACTACTATACCGACCATCAAAAGGAAAGTAATATAAATTTTAACAATGACATTTATAAATATTTGTTATTATATTGTACGAGTATATTATTTTTTTAGAGTATATATGATACTATACAACATTATTTTTAAATAATTGCACGATTCTAACATAAATAAATATTTAAATCAATGTTGCCAAATAAAAGAAGGTAACAATCGGAAACTCTAGACCTTTTAGGGGCCATGGCCCCCATGCCTCCCCTGAATCTCCCACTGGATAGCTTAGTACTGAAGATCCGTTATTTTACTTCGTTGATAGTTCCTCAGAAAAGATGAGCGTCGATTCGAAGGATCCATGGGGAGAGGTCGATTTTCTATCGTATCGACCAACGAAACCAAGAAACTTAAGCTTTTGATTCTAGTTTTACTTTCTCATAGACTTGAATTATATGTTGATGGCAATACATTGATGATTTCAAACGGAAACGAAAACCAAACCCGTCACTTAAAATCCGTGGTGGTTTTGTGTTAACTCTCCAAACGTGACACCGTCAGTTGCTTCAGGTTTTCCTCAGAGCATAAACCGTGCATACGTAAATTATTGTTCTTGTCTCTTTCTTCTCCTCTGAATTTGTTATATCCAACTGCCGAAGCCAACGTGTTTGGGGATGTCTACAGGTGGCCGTAGTGCAAGCTGGCGCATACACGCGGTACTTGGGCAACTTGACCGCGTTTTTCGACGCCTCCGGCGAGTTGGTGTCTGCGGAGGGCAACCCCATCTACTTGGACGCGTCCGTGCAACCTGGTGAGTAGCGCCTGCAGTACCGGCTAAAAGGAATACCGTGGCAACCAAAAGAATAAGGACACCTGGGGAAAGTGAGCTCAACACAACACAAACAAAACACAAAAATATGCCTATTGTAATATTTATCCGGTGTTACCAACATATCCTCAACAAATCTAAAGAGTAACTTCGTCAAATGGCGCCACATTGGACTGTCTAGCGAGTCTTTCATTAAATATTTATTACTTTTCCGTATACATAGGGAAAGTTATTTTTTCTATTCTTTTAAAGAATTGAAAATATTATAAGCTTTATAAATTATTTAATAAATATTTTCAGCAAAACTTGTATAGGCTAATACGAGCATTAGGTAGGTACATTATATAAACCACAATTGGTTGATATAGGTGTAATAATTTTTTATTGACTTTTTTTAATCATCAAAAATTGGTATTTTTTATCTTGCTGATAAATCAAATATTTTCGATCTCCTTCACTTTTTAAATTAGCAATCTGTTGTTTTACGGAAGAATGGCCCTTTTTGCGCTTAATTTAATACGTCATGAAGATAACATTAAACAAAAAAATATGACGCCTTAAACGAATGCGATTGAAAGGGGTATGCTTTTGGTTGGCACTGTACGTGTGTTACTTACATGTATTATAGGTAGGACACGGAGGTGTAAGACCTAAAAATGTTAGACATACGCAAGTATTTATGACCTAAAAATATGAAAATTTGACCATGAATATAACTTTAAAAAAATTTGGTCGCATACTCGAAACCTCCAAAACCTTTCGCTGTTTAAGTAAACATTATATTAAAAATATACTTTTTAAATCTAGCACATTCACAATTCACCCCTTCTCCTTTGGCGCCCCGTGAAAAAAATTCTACTTGCTAAAGTTATTAAATAAATTTTACAGAAGCGGTTGACCTAGGCACAAAACTAAACTAACACTTCCTTCGCATCTGGTGCTTTCTGCACTTTCTTTTTCTTGTTCTATACAGCTTACCATCCCAATTCACATAAATAACATTCATAGGAAAGACAGACAATAATTATATACAACAACTAAATTGTAATCAATTAGATAACAATTACGCAAGATGAAAAATCTCTTTGAGACGACTGCAAGCAAGGATGCGAAAATGGATTCAAAAAGATAAAAAATATGACAAAAAATCATGGAAACATAATATGAAAAATTAACTGAAAATGACCAAAGGGTTAGAAAAAGCTAAAATATGACTGTATATGATACATAAGAATTGCATAATTTTAGTCATTGTAGATAAAATCATGCTTATCTTACATTTCCCAAGGAAATAATGCAAAGAAAAATATAACATGTCATAAACATCTGGGCCCTAATTACAGACAAGAGAGGTTTTGACGAAAGGGTTCACAGAGTTCACTGGTTTTTCGATTTCCATCTTTATTCGAAAGAACGTTTTGCGAGAGCTTGTTGGTGGAGTTTAGCAGATAGGCAGCAATGCCACTGACTCTGTAATGGTTCTGATCGGGAGGTCCTAGGTTCGAATATCTAGAGAGCTAGGTCTAAATCGGCTTCTGTCTGGAAGAGAGATCTGGTAGCCGGCTGCTCTAATAGAATGCCGAAGCCGGAAAACTACCGATCGGCAGCCGGCCGCCATTTAACAAAAAAACGAATGACTCTTTAATAAAATGAGGAAAATATCGTAGGGAACGGTTTGGTCCCTACTTGCTAAGTGCGCAGAGTGACAGCGCTGTGGCTGCCGGTGCGTGCGCAGACGCGGAGACGGCGCTGGCGCTGGCGCCGTGGGCGGCGGGGCTGGAGGCGCTGGCTGCGCGGGTCGTGGGGCGCTCCGCCGTGCTGCTGGAGCAGAACGGCGGCGTGTGCGGCGCGGGCGAGTGCAACCTGGGCTCCTTCGTGGCCGACGCGCATGTGCATGCCTTCGCGGGCGCCGGCCCCCCCGGCACGTGGACGCGCGCCGCCATCGGCATCACCAACTCCGGCGGCCTGCGCGCGCCCCTCCCGCAGGGCAGTGAGTAGCCGCCCGCGCCTCCCAGTCACTCGTTCCCTAAAAACAATTTCAGTCACCCATCACGTAAGCAAAGGGACAGGCCACATAGGCGGTGCCACAAGTTTCCGGCTTGACCATGATTACGCTCATCAGTGAGAATACCTTTTGAGCAGGGAACAGGCTGACTTTCATTGTTTGTCAATTTAGATCCAATACGGCAGCTGACTTTCAACGGCTTCGCCGTGCTCGTTCGTTGCGGTCTAGAAATGTACAAAATAAATACTAAAAATTATAAAATAATTAACAAACAAATAATAACAACTGAAGTAAGGCTTCACCTAAACTACGACAGAGGCTACTTTGCAAAAAATTGGACGTTTTACATCGCTAACACTCCTCCTATGTATGGAACTGCGAGAGACATTCGTATTAAGGGAATCCCCAAAACTGAGACAATAACAAAAACAGGGACGGTGGTGGGAGGGGCGCTGAAACGTGAACGTTCTCATTAACTAACGAATTTAATGTTAGAAGTTACTAAACCAACTTTAAAACATTGATTGTTTTTGATAGATGTATTATTGGATGTTTTGATTTTGAACGTCGATGTTTGGCAACATCGATCTTTTCTTGTCGATGTCGCATCACTACAGTACCGGCAGCGTATAAGCGACTCTGACAGTTCGATGCGCTATTGCCACACATTACTACGCACATGGCACCACTTGCATCACAGATCAATTAAATCTGAAAACATTAACCCTCACTGACAGGCGACGATACGTCTATGTTCATAACCTTCGCCAAAGCCGAACTAATCGCCTGCGCGATTCCGTGCGCGTCAGATGAGCAGCAACGCTGGCTGAGAGAGAGTAAACAAAACCTCGCACCTGATTGCTTCAGAGCAGGTCACGTGACGCACCACAGCACACGGAGAGAGAACTGACAGTCAGTTATATGCTGTCGATACGTAGTAGGGATACATCGGTAACAAAACAGCGATGTTAGTAAACATCGATGTTCAACATACACCGACTAAAAACTTAGGCTTTTAGTCTGGTTTAGTAACATCTAACATTCAGTTCGAGTGCATTACAATTTAATTGGACAGTGTTCATGTTTACCAATTTACCGAACAAGCGTACGAAAAGAAGGGGACGACCCTACGCTCACAGTGTTTTTATTGACCACATTTCAATGTACGAAATGAACATGAAGAAAGAGGCATACAAGGGCATGAAGGTCATCTCGGGCGAGCGAGTTAGTTTGGTCGATTAAGGTAGTACAAATACGTTATTTTGGTTTGATAGAGTGTTACCATCAGTTGTATTTCATATTTTACTTTTACAGTATTGTGACGCTGTATTTTTTTCATTCAGATACAATAAATCAGAAAAAACCAACATCGATCACAAACCATCGATGTTAAAATAACATGTCTCAAACCCTTATATAATAATAGTAGTACTAGTATCAATAATAATAATAATAATAATAATAATAATAATAATAATAATAATAATAATAATAATAATAATAGAGGTAGAATGAACGTCTTACTGAACGGAGTGTGATATACGGCCCGGTGGACGAGGAAACTTATGGAACGTAAGATGTCGTTGAGTTATAAATAGAGACGGAATAACATAATTGTCGACAAGGAATGTATGTCTTGGAGGAGCTGGAAGATGTGAGAAAATATAAATGACGTTTGACGACTTGTGCACGGGAGCAGGAAGACTTATATTGAACATACGAACAGATTGTAAAGTTTTCCTTTAGCTGTTTGTGGAAAGTTCTTCTCTTTGTTGTTGCCTTTCTAAGTAGTATTTAATACTGTAAATAACTGTTTTATTTTTGATTTGAATTATGAAATTATTTTTCTTGATTTAATCAAACGGTAATTTGCCTCATTCAAGTTTACGGTGCATGGCGTAAAATCATTGACCCTGAAAATAAATAAATGGATATTTCTGTTTTTCCTTATTAGTGGATTTATTTCATTCTCATTTATTGGGGGTAATGACGACCTGTGTAAATAAATAAATAAATAAATAAACAAACAAATAACTAAAGGTGGATAAACGATGCTTGGCGCAGACGTGACGTTCAACGGGCTGGTGACGGCCCTGCCCTTCGAGAACACCGTCGACCTGCTGGAGGTGCGCGGCGCGGGGCTGCGCGCGGCGCTGGAGCAGGCGGTGGCGTCGCCGCGGCGCCGCGGGCCGCGCGCGGGCCCCTGGGCGCGCAACTACTTCGGCTTCCTGCAGGTGTCGGGCCTGCGCGTCTCCTTCGACGCCGCCGCCCCCGCCGGGCGGCGCGTGCGATCGGTGCTCGCGCTCTGCCACGCCTGCGCCGTGCCCGTGTACGTGCGGGAAGTCTTTCTTTACAAAAACATTCTAATACAACCGCTTCTTAGATAAGAAGCTATGCAGGTCTACTTACTTCTCAAAGCATTCTGCTTTTTTATTTCGTGATCCCCAACACCCTACTCTGCTGCTAGGCAGGACTTATGACTAAAAACCATTACTATGTTACACTTTACTGGTACCACAATACACGCATTTATACAGTGGCGCAGATCCGAGTTGAGTGCCTAATGGCGACGTGTTGGTCAGCGTCTCGACCGATGCGCCGCCTTACATTCGTAATACTGCATCGTTCTGCCAAATCTAACCAAAAAGTAAGTTGGTTATACATATTTTATTTTCCTTATGCTTATAACTAAAACAAAGTGAAGTACGTTTTCACCATTTTTTAAGGAATGACATTATTTAAATGTAATGAATGCTATCAATTGAAAGTGAATAATGGAATCACGAAGAAGAACAAGTATTTCTACACTGTTCATGAAACAAATTTCTGTCTACTTTCTAGGTCTATTGAAAGATACAAAAACAGCATAACTCATGGTTCTTTCCTTCATTATTGCTGCATTTAATTGCAGCACTGTGCGCCCCTTTCGGCACATGTATTGTTATTAATGTGTTGACTGAAAAAGTATGAGAATTCTGTTGATGCATACCAACTATGTTCCAGTACATGTCAAATGTTAGGTTAAAACGTTGGTTTGATGTAATTTTACGTGTTATTTAGTGACTTGCTCTTGTAATGCTAGGAATATAAAGCCAGAAGGTCCAGAAATAATACAAATTTTCTATTTCCAACTCGAAGTTTTTAACCAGCTCTTAATAAACGCATTTTCACAAACAAATCCGCATACTTCAGTAGCATCTTTCCGTAGTTTTACTTGACCTCCGCCAGGAGCGCTACCTGTATGCGGCGCGCATCCGTAAGTAGCCACAAAATGGGCCGAACTGCGCTACTGTATAAATATGTATACTGTGCTTATACGGTAGGGCTCGTACCATCAGACTCGCTCTTCCACCTAACCACACGACGAAAATTATACAAATGTGTACATTTACTGCATGTAAAATCAGGAGTAAAAGATTTGAACTCTGAGAAAAATTCAAATCGCTGGTTTCGTCGCCCCGACGGACTGTAATACCAATGTTTGCCAGTTCATACCAAATCCAAGTCGTGGATTAAAAAAAAACAAACATCGTATTTTGAAAAAAAAATCCTTCGTATGCCTTCCTTCGAAAGGGAAGTAAAATCGGCTGTCCCATGATGTAGATTTTCTGCAAGCCAAAGATCGTCCTCAAGCCGAAAACAAGACTCAAATCACCTCTTTGTCCGCTAGATGAGGCAAGGAGCGATGCGCGAGTCGCGAGGTCAGACGCCAGAGCGCGCCTCAAGATGGGAGCCTCGCCGCGCATCAAGTGACTATCGCGTCGGCACAAGCTCAACCAAAGGTCAGGGGCCGAGGGGGGGGCGCATTATTAGACGAGAGGTACTGAATAAGACAAAATGTACTTGTGAATACTTTTTGACACATTCTGTGCACAGGTTTCTAATGTTCTATGTACATTTCATAATTAACAAACTTATTCTGAGGTATGTTGAAAATCAATTTGTCATTTCTTCTTTCAATTTAATGTCACTTTGCGAGTTTCTTGTAACTATCAAACGAACATTTTCGATGAGATTCATGTCAGGGCTATTTGTAGTCCATTGGAAAGGAAACTGACCAATGTCTTGCACATGTTTTCTAACTTTCTTTCCTGTTGTGATGTGGAGCGTAGTCATTGATTTTTTTCAGACAACTCATTTATTAGATTGAAGTATTGGTTCTTTAGGGCCCTTTAAGTAATGATGTGCCTCATTGTATCATTGACCGTATTCATTTCCAATAATTCCATTTCCAATTTGCTTCTCCGGGCTCATTATAGTCTCGCAAGATCGCCACTGTACCAACCACTGCTAGACACGGTCGCGACTCCTAGCGGCACGTGAAGAGCACAGGGGCCTCGGGGCGCAGTTGCTGCACTGACGCGGTCAGAGCAAAAGCGCGCGAGCGCGTCCCAAAAGACCAGCAACTTGAATGCGATTGGCTCGCGTGGCGTTTCCGCAGGTACGAGCCGCTGCAGGACGAGGAGTGGTACCCGGTGGCGCTCAACAGCTTCCTGGCGGGCGGCGGGGACGGCTTCTACGTCTTCTCGGAGCAGGGACGCAACTACGAGAAGGGGCTGCTGGACACCGACGTCCTGCTGGAGTACCTGCGGGTGCAGGATCCAGTGGTGCAGGCCCGCGACGGCCGGCTGCAGTTCGCCGAGGGCGAGCGCCGACTTGGCAACGCCGCACCCGTGGCGAGCGCTGGTAAGGAGCCCCAGTGGGTGGCGGCGGCGGCGGCGGCGGTGGCGGCGGCGTGGTGGCGGCGAAGCGGGGCGTGAACGGCACCAAACCAAAGCAGACATTATATTTTTCTGCTCAAAAAGTCAATGTATAGGACACGTCAAGATATAAAGTCACGACACAAAAGTGATATTTAATAATTCAATATCTAATAAAAAAAGAACTGCGTTTTATTCCTTCAAACGTTAGGGGTAAAGCGTCTCAGTAAACAGGGAACAAATGTAAACCTAACAAACAACAAAACAAAAAATGTTTTCTTAACAAAAGAACCTTTAGTATAGAGAGGATTTAGTAGATATCACAAGGAATAAAAAGTTGGAACTCACTGAAACAATATTAACTCATTTGGACGCACGAAAAAAAGGCAATAGGGCCTACGAAATAAAGCCAATAATAACATTTCGCTGGCTTCAACCAAAGATAACTCGTACGTGTTTTTATTAATGATAAAGGATATGTAAATGAAATTATATATATATATATATATATATATATATATATATATATATATAAATACACACACAATACTTAATAACTACGATATTTAACAAAAACTATTTATCAAATATTTATCTAAATAATTCTTTATTAAATGGATAAGTCAAGAAACTAGATTTATGAAATCAAAAATGAATCTCACAATTGTTCTCAAATTGTTTTTAAAATTTACATACAATAAACAAAGCCAAAGAAGGAAGACACGGATATGTCTGTCAAAATAAACTAAAAAATACAAGTACTTCCACAAAGTTAAATGCAGAGAACCAAAAATTTATAATTACGTAAATCATGAAGAATGTTGAAAGTTAAATAACCAATAAAGCTTTTAAAGATTTATGGTTAAATTTGTAAAGAAAACAATGAAAGCAAAAATGTTATTTACATCCAGTTGTAAAACTAACACTTTTTGGCAAATAATGCAGAAAGCATAGCTACTAAATATTTATAAAAACATAACTTTCACAAAGTTTCTTCAAAAAATGTGAACGAGGTTTCATAAGTATGAGAAGAGAATGTGAGAGGGGCTGTGAAAAACTCATATTGCCAACACTCTGCTGAGACAATTGAATAAAGTAATAACACCCATACATTTGAAAATATTATCTTGAATTTATGCTGCAGAGGACGATCGGCTATTTACTCGATATTAATGAGCTCGATTTTACATTAGTTTTACAGCTAATGATTTGGCTTCACACGGCATGATCTGAAATTCAATGTCCCACCGGTCTTATAATTGTTTAGCTTCAAATGAAGAAAATTCTCCCTTTCGAGCTATATCAGAGAGTGTTGTGAAAAATTGTGAATAATATTTGTAAATTTTGTGTAGGCATATATAGCAATCACTTCTGTTAAACGTATCCACTTGGATCTTCTAAATAGGAATGTGATATGTAGAAAATGTTACTATTTCAGTACTTATCAATAACATCTCATATTTAGAGTCACTTTTGAAACAATGAAGCAAATATTAAAGGACAGTCAGATAAAAATGTCAAGAGTAACGGTAGAGTTAAAATTACTCTTTATAATGGAGTGTAATGAAGATGGTTAGAGCGAGATAAGTGTTATTTTTAACATGCCCTTTTTATTGTATTAATCGAAATATGAGGGGTTCTTCTATGTTCTGGTAAAGTTTGAATTGATTTTACCGTCCAGTTTTTACGTAAAGAGACTGCTGTTTTAGTATGTTTATGTATAAAGTTTGCTGTTTTAGTATGGGCTCTTATGATGACCTGACAGATCTGACCTGAAATTTTACAATTGTGAGAAAATTAACTGTTGAACATGCTTTTAAAAACTTTTCTTTTGATAGCTAGCGTCTCGAAGAATCAACATGCGCAATTTAAAGGAAATCTTGTATTTCAAATGGAAGAATTTTGCAAAATCATAAGCCTACATCAGTCCAAAGGGAGACGTTTGCGCGCTTTCTAGAGGTTTGGGACTGTACGCGCAATCTCAGAAACACCGCGCGTGCAACGCGCTTCATTCAAATCGACTGACAAGGCAGCAAGAGTTCGTACATTCTTCTAGATCTTCTGGGAGCAATTAAAATACCCTCACTCCTGGAGAACATTGCATTTGATGGTTACCAGATATTCAGAAAAGTTGGAATTTGATGGATATAATGGTTAGGGCGATCTGAATGAAAATCTTAATTCAATTAATATTCCCAATGACTCACTTTGATACTACTCCTTGAGGAAATGGGTGATCTTGACACTTAACAGAATTTTTTAATCATTCAGTAGAGTATTATTATTTTGTATTGTGCCGTACGTCAGTTTCTTGCTCCTGAACAATGATTATTCAATTATTTGAAAATTATTCATATTCTCTTTTTTATTATGGAAATACACAGTGGATTTTCATTGTCTTTTGCACCAAAGATGCGTACACATGACTCAAAGCAACAATCTTTAGCGTAGATCAGCACCTCAATCGGTATTGCTACTGAGTGGGCATTCATTTAAAAAGAAATAAGACTTTCTAGTGGCTTCAAATGTGTTACAATAATAAAATACATTTTGAGTGGTACTAATATCTTATTTTCAAAATATTTAATTTTTTTTTCATTTTGAGTGCAACGTGAAAACAAACGACTACAAAAGACTGTGCCACTCAGAAATCTCTTTTGAAGGTTTTATCTCTAACAATGGTATAATTTTATTATTGAAGGTCTCAATATTACAGCTTTCAGAATTATCTGATGCAGTATTTTCATTTTATCAGCTTTAACTTGATATGTACTTTACACAATAACTTGCATCTAAATCAATATCATAACATATATAAAAGTATACTGAAAGCCATATTTTCTATGTATTATACAACAGCACCGCTGTAAACAATACGGCACATTGTAATTGCCAAAATAGTTCTATAATTTCAATCAAAACTATTAAAACATTAAAAATTGATCATCCAGTTTAATTAACAAAGCAAAAATAAAATGGGGGAATATATATATACTATTAATATATATATATATATATATATATATATATATTGTGGTAAGAAGGATAATAAGGAACAGGAGTCCATGATTACGATTTTTTTGAAGTTAAATATAAAGCTTAATACAATGTTACTTTATACAAACTTTTGATCTTGTTGAGCAATCGAATAACCTCAGATTTGTCCTACAATTCGTTCAGGTAATTCAAGAAATAAAAATTAGAGAGAAACAAACAATGAAAATATATTTGAAAAGTTTTTATTACCGCACTGTTCTCATGATATTGGGGGAATTATTTCGTTATCTATCAAATTCCGCTTTGGAAATAAACCTTCCGCCAATTCGCTCAGATTCTGATATTTACCGCGTGTCGACCAGGCAACGAACAGTATTCAAAGTGATTCAAAACAATGAAACTTTGATGATGCATGAACCCTGAGCAGTCATGCCAATCTCAAGGACATTACGGATTTGCCCAATGTATTAAAGACTTTTCGCCTCTCAAACATTGATATTTTTGCCATTATTGGCAATTACTGCACAAAACTATATAGATGTGTGGCTATTATGTTACGTTTTATGATTTTGCTCTTACTAATTGTGCAATAGCGCTTTTCTATGTTCAATCTTATGCTTCAATTTGTTATTCCGTGGCCACGCGATCTATTGATACTAGTTAAAAAACTAGTCAACGGTAGTGGTATATATATGGTATAGTTATGTGGTATTAAAATATCTTTATTTTACATCTATTAAACTAAATTAATTCAAATAATTAAATAAAACTCAGCATTAAAGTCCTATTTGGTTTATGTAGGTCCCACAATACCCACTTATCTCGGAAATAATTATTTTTGAACGTAATATGGACTCTCTATTAGGGAATATCTCGCTCTAACCACCTTAATAGGCGTGAACAATAGGGTTGTTAGAAATTGAAAAAATATTCCATTGATTGTAAACTACTTGTTTCACACTGGATTGTTAAGTTGGCATTTAGAGTAAGAGCATGACTGGTGAGATAGAAGACCGTAGGTGAACAATAATCAGTAGCAAGTGGGCTTATGATATTGTGCATTATGTAGAGCTTATACATAATGTCCATCAAAGCCATAATTAATACAGAAATTTCTCGTGAAACAGGATTCTCATTCGCAAATGAATTAATAGTATTTAGAACCTTCAGATACCTGGACATATAATTCAATTCAGTTGGTTTGGGATGCCTGCTCTTCGAACCAAGAATACAGAATTGAAAAGTTCACAAAATATTCAAGAAAATGAAGCAGCACACACACACACACATATATTATATATATTTTATATATTATATATATTTTATATATATATTATATATATTATATATATTATATATATTTTATATATATATATTATATATATTATATATATTATATATATTTTATATATATATATTATATATTTATATATATATATATTTTATATATATATATATATATATATATATATATATATCGTAAAGTTGTTTAGTTTCAGAAAAATGCAATTATTGTTACTACCTACTATCTTCTGATCAAACCTACAAAGCATTTTAAAAGTTTACAAATAATTACTAATATTTATTTCTTGGTTTACAAGTTTATTTTTTGAAAAATTAAATAATTAACTCTCATTTTTTACCTCCTTTAATAAGTTCCTTCGATTCAATAATGCTGTGGTGGACAAATATACAAACACAGCAAATTATTTAATACGAATGGAAATTAGATCAACGGCAGTGGAGATTGGTTATAATTTCATTGTGCCATCCATATAATGGATATGGTAATATATTCTGATAAGTGTTTTGTAATTTTTGTCATGACCTTTGTGCTTTGTTTCGTGAAAACAAAATTATTTCTTGAAAAAAGTTACATGTTGGTTTTGAAATGTTATTAATTTGAAATGTCAATAATGTGAAGTGCGTGTTTCTCAGTATTAAACTTTATGTTGTGAAATAATGTATTACATATACCAAATTGTGTATCGTTTATTTGTTTCAAGTGATTGTGAGTTTATGTAATAACAGATTTTTTGCTTAACGGCATATTTAACTCGGTA